TGGCAACTATAATGACACAACAGTGACAAAGGGCATGAAGTCAGAAATCAGAGGTGAGGAGGGGGTAAATAGTCATCACATGGAAAGGCTTGCAGCTTGATGCTGGGTAAACCCAGGAAGGGCTTTTACATCTTATCCACGACTTAACTGTTCCCAGGGCACCAAGAGACACACAGCAAAGAAGACTACATTCTAGGCTGGGTCAACGCAAAAAAGAGGAGTTTTTCAGCTAGGACTCACACTGTTTGGGTTAGAGTGCATGGAATCCCAGAGATCTGTGGACTGTTCTCACAAGAAGGTATCATCTACCCATATCCTTAGTACATTCTCACAAATAGCCTTATTTCTTTAGGGAGACAAACATTTACCAGGAATAGTTCCTTTGCAATTCTCTTCTAATTAATGAATGAGAGTCACAAATTTGATGTTGAATAAAAATGTACCTCAGTAGAAAGCTTTTTATTTCTCCTTGTGTTCTTGCATGTTTTCTCCAAGATCCGGAATAAGGCCTGTACATGGTAAATAGTGAAGGCTGGATGGGCCATGGAGACAATGAAGAATAATTTCAGGCCTTCCCATTTGCACAGAAACTGTTCAAGACTTCTAAATATTTTCCTATTTTCTTTTTAGAAAAGCACCATAAAATTTTATAAGCATAAATCCCCACCAAGTCCAAACTACTCTGTATGTGGATTCAATTAGTGTTTGTTGAATGAAAGGAATGAATGGTTACTGGAGTCCAGGTAGGCTCCACTTCTGTAAATATAACCCAGTCTAGCCAGTTACAAATGGGTTCAGCGTTGAAGGGAGCAGAGACACATGTGAGGCTGCTGGAAATTCAAAATAAGACAAAGCAAACTGGGAAATTTTCATTTATACTTGCTATTATAAGACTTTTTGAATGATTGGATGGCAGAATGAATGAAATAAAAATGACAGTCTCTTGTAAAGGGATGGATTCTTTGATGGTCACTTCCTTCCATCACTGTCACCATATAGGCTGCCCCTGGAGGCACAGTCTGAGATGAGAGTTTAGGTAAACGTTGTTTGTCTAGAAAATGATCTCAGAAAGCAGGAGAAAGAGAGCAGGGACGAAAGGTCTTGGAAGGAGAAAATCAGAATAAGGTGCAATACTGCGGTTGTGCAGGGACATCAGGAGATGAATTTTGTTGAAATCTGCAGAGAAGCACACAGACCACCTCCTGAGCTGTCCTCCTGGATACAGAGGCTGAGCTTTCATCCCTGGCTCCTCTCCCTCCAGGAGCATTAGCACTTCTGCAGCTCTGGCTGCCCTGCTGTGCAGGCCACGTGGGCTCCCATGATAGAGAGGAGGCCAGAGCAGACAGCAGAGGGACACCCAGCCTGCAAGTGAGGGGGTAAATGCTGTCAGACCAGGTAAACGCACATAAACTTGTTTGTTCACTGCAGCTGAGGCTGATACCAGAGATGAGATGGGATGGACGGCACTAGAAGCTCCACTATGATGGTCTCTCTTCACACAAAACCGTCCCTTCCATCAGCTCTTCTGTGTGATCACCAATCACTCTGAAGCCACAACTTTCTGGAAGCACCACACCTTCTTGTACATTAGACTTAGCCTCAAAAGGAAGTGCTGTCCTGTGTCCTATTTAATTTTATCTTAAGAGGCATCTTGATTTCACCCAATAAATTATCAGATGACAGTATTTGCATTTCAGAGGAGTGTCTATCTGAACCATAGATGAGTCAGATAAAGTAACCCATAGCTGCCTTTGATCCCAGAACTGCACATAGTAAATAATTGTCCTAGACTAGAGATCGGTCACAGTGTTTATAGAGAACAAAGAGGACTTGAGCCTATATTTTTATTAAGCAATTTGTTGTATTTGCTTGTGCATTATTTGCCACAATTTACAAATGTAAAAACTCAGACAAATAGCTTCTGAGTCACCATCCCAAAGCAGGTCAGAATATGAACAGACAGATCCAGGAAACTGGATCTCTTTCCTTAACAGTGAAAGCTGTTATGCAAATGATTTGTGTTAGAGTCTGCAGTTCTGAAAGGGGCCTTTGGGTCAAGGTTCCCATTTTGAAGATGCCTCTCTCTGCCAAAGGCAGAAGGGTGGGGTGATTTAAAGGATGGGTGGAAGTCAGTATCATCCATGTCTGTGTCCCAATTCCGATATTTGTTAGCTGCACCACCTTAAGTCAAGTATCCGAACTCTCTAACAATCAGTGTTTTCACTTGTAATGTGGGTAATATATGCTATCTCACAGAAAATGTGCAATAAATAAAATGATTGAATTAAATACACAAAATGTGTGGAATTAAAGTCATCTGCATTCACCAATCAACTCAAACCCTGATCTGTAAATATCTGTATTATTCATTTAATAGCTGTGATGCTCAGCTGTTTTCTGCAGTTCCTGACCTGGGCAGAAGTAATTTCAGATGTTCTGATGGAAAGCGGGGGCAAGCTGAAACTGTCCCACCTCTAAACCTTCCAGTGGTTTAGAAACACTGATTCCCTGCAGTAACTCCCAGAATCCTGCCTGAAATTCCTAGAGGGCTTCTGTTTTCTTGGTGAACCTTCTGCTAGTCTGGAAATCACCCTAGTCACTTAGCTCATCTATTAGAGGAACATTATGGCCTTCCTTCATGTGAACAAGGACAGGACAAATGCACACTCTCTGTCATGAAGTTTTGTGACCTGAAGTTGGATGGCAATCAGCTGTGTATCCCCAAATGATGGGTGACTTCCCCCATTCCAGCTCAGATGCTCTTGAATGGGGAGAGCCAGGGCTCTACTACTAGAGACCCGGTGCATGAAATTCATGCATGGGTAGGGTCTCTAGGCCTGGCAGCGAATCAGGGCCGATCTTTGGGGCGACTGGTGGGACCCCGCCTTGGCTTGCCTGGTGCCACCCATTCACCAGCCCTGCCCTCTGCTGCCGGCGCCAGTCACCTCACTCTGCAGGTCAACCAGTGGGGCGATCAGGGTGGCGGGGGGTGGGCATTGGCACCCACCTTTGCTAGCCTGGGGCCTGCGGGCTGGGGAAGCTCCTGCATTGAGCATATGCCCTCTGATGCTTAGTGCATGTCATAGTGACTAGTCGTTTCGCCATTTGTTCCCCTGTTCAGTAGATTTGCATATTAGGTTATTACTATATAGGATGGGCCAAGCCCAGAAAGCATCATGGAATTCTAGAGGTAATGTTGATTTTGGAGGCCTGGAGATTTAGGGTTGACACATATGAAATATTTGGAATGTCCAGGATCTGCAGCTTCCTGCCTATAAAAAGTTATATTGAAGGCTTCTTCTTCTGTAAAGTGGACAGACATTAGTGACAATGCATTAGCACACACAGCATGGACCCCACTCTATCACAGCAGGAGTTCCTGCCATGTGCTAGGAATTGCCAGGTGCTGGCAGAGCTGGAAAGGCACTCAGGAAAGGTCAGGCTGAGCTCAGCAGGCCAGGGAGGATGTTGCAAAAGAAGTTAGCCCTATACTGGTAAGTTGCTAAGGCTCCCTCCCTCTCCTATGACATCCTCAGCTGGGGCAGGGAGGTTTGAGTACAGAAAGCCATTGACCCTGCAAGGCTGTGTCTAAGCTGCTGGCACAGAGATACACAGCCGAGTCTCCCAGCTGCAAGGTGCTCAGGACCAGCTCAGAGCTGTAGTCACTGAACTGGTTTCCTGAGAACCGATCTGGGATGTTTCCTTTCTGTCCCTCCTGCTTTTCATAAAAACTAATGAGGAACTCGGGGCCGTGTCCCAGAGCCTGCTGGTACCAGTACACATATCTGTGTCCGGAGATGGGGTGGCACTTCAGAACAGCCTTCCCCTCTTGGACTTTGATTATATGTCTTGGAGACTGGGCGACTCCAGCAGCCACAGAACCTGCGGAGGAAGGAGACAGAAGCTGTAGACCAGCACATGAAGGAGATGGATGCTCCACCAACAGTCAAGAACTTTGGGTTCAAGGGATGTCCCACCTGAATTCAGGACTCACCTGCCCCCAGAAGGCAGAGGGCCACGCAGCAGAGGACCCGGAGGCCCCTGAAAGATTCAGGCAGGGCAAGACTGGCCATCTCCCAGCTCTGGGCTCTGGTGCTTAGGGTGAGAGAGCAGAGGCTTTACCCCTCCCTTTGCTCTGAGTGGAGGGCTTGCCTGTGATGTCACTGTCCTGATGTTACTGTCCTTGTAAGCTCCACAGGCAACCTGCACTTCCTAGACAGGCTCAGTTGGTCTAGGCATTCCCCATTCTGTCCATCTTCCTATCAGTAGGTGCTCTGGCTGTGCTGAGCTGGGCCAGGCTGGTTTTGTGGCAGGTGACCATCCCCAGTTTCTCTGTTTCCTAGGAGCAGGTGCTTCTCGTTCTATACCTGGCTTGAATTATCCCAGCTGCCTGACTGAAGGAAGTCCCATCACACTCTCCACCAAGAATAGGCTTCAAGAGAGAGCTTAACTCCAGGCAAGGCCAACCTCATGGCTCCCTTAGGTGACAACACACCTGCATAGCAGTTAATGTGAGAAGATATGATCACCAAACCTCTGATTCATCAGACAATCTCCCTTATGTAAGGCCAAGCCAAGATTCTCTCCCTCTTCCACAGGGTCCCCGTCAGCAGCTCACTTCATGGATCCACAGTGCCCTCAAGCGGCCACTTGTGCAGTAGTGGTGTTGACACTGCCCAGGCTGGCTGGGTTCTGAATTAGAGTCAGGATTGGACAGGATACTGCAAGCTCCTGATGCTGTGATGTTTACCTGTCTCAGCCCACCCTTTGCAGGTGGCACTGAGGGAGGCATGATGTATTTTGCTAAGAAGGAAACACAAATTCTAAATCTCATCAATGAGTGTTCTGGGAAAAAGGACACCATGCATGCAGCTGCCCTGGGAAGGGGAGGAGGGACCTTGGGCAAAGTGCTCTCTTTAACCAAAGTTAATTCCTGGGGAGGGCTGACCTTGGCCCTCTGTCAGTCAAAAAATCTAAGCAGCTGGAAATAGACCATATAGAAAAGGGAGTTGCCTAATTATAGATTTTTTTACCAGTCTTTTTAATTCTTTTGCTTTTTTAAATAATTGAATTATTTACTTTTAAATTATTGATTTGTAGGAAATATTTATATTTTGAATACATGACCAGCAAAAAATATATTCATAGATATATTTTTTCTTAATGTATTTTGTTGAACAGGATTTTAAAACTTTTAATAAGGAAAAATATACTTTTTAAAGATCAGAGTATTTTCGTGTCCTCTCAAAGACATTTTGCCTACTCCAAGGTCATGAAAAGAATTTGTTCAGCTTTCTCTCAGAAGCTTTATTGAGAATGTTGATCCATCTTATATTCATTTTTGTTTATGGAACTATCAGCAAACTTTTTCTGGAAAGGATCAGATGGTAAAGATTTTGGTTTTCTGTCCCAGCTCCTGACCTCTGCCCCTGCGGTGACAAAGAGCCAGAGACACTGCGCTCGCGAGTGAGCATCAATAAACTTGGTGTATGGATACCGAAATCTGAATTCCATATTATTTTCCTAAGTCACAAATTACTTTTTCAATTTTTTCAACCATGTATGTAAACATCATTTGTTAGCTTTTGGGCCATACAAGTACAAGTAGAGGCTAGATTTTGCCCACTCCTGGTTTATGGAATGAGATAAGGATTGAGATTTATTGTTTTTTATATGTAAACAGTTTTTCCAGCACCATTGTTGAAATGACTATTTCCCCCCTTTTTGTGGTACTTTTAATATTTGATCTAGAGATCACAACATGCATCTTTACCTCACCCACAAAAATGTCTATTAACCATAGATTTTTTCATAAATGCCCTGGATTAGGGGAGGATGTTTCCAATTATTTCTGATTTACTGAGTTTTTACCTGAAACATACGTTGAATTATATAAAGTGTTTTTGAGTATCAATAGAGATGATCTTATGATCTTTCCTTTTTTTTAATATTTGAGAGTTTAAACTACATTTCGTATTTTTTAATGTTAAACTGGCTGCATATTCCCGAAGTAAACCCCACTAGGTGAGGAGGCGTTATTCTCTGTAGATATTGTTCTATTTGATATACTGGAATTCTAAAAGGATTATTAATCTGTGTTCTAGAGGTGTATTGGCCTATAGGTTTTTGGTGGTTTATTTATTTTTGTTTTTGTAATACCTTGGTCTCATTTTAGTATCATAGTATGTTGGCATCAGGATAAGTAGGGAATTATTCATGATTTTTCAGGTTTCTCAGTGGGTACTTCTATGGTGGCATCCTACCAATTTTGATATGATATATTTTAATTTTAATTCCATGAATATTCCTTTATAGTTTTTCTTTTGATATGTTCTTTGCCATTTCATTTACAAATATTTGGGATTTTCCCAGAATGCTTTCTGTTATTGATTTCTAATTTAGTTCCTCTGTGATGATAGAACATAGTTTGAATTCTGTTAAATTTATTGATCCTTAATTTATACCCAAAGTCTATAGTATCCTGGCCATTGTCTGTGTGCACTCGATAAGAATGTGTATTCTGCTGCTGATGGGTAATCTGTTCTATAAATGTGAGTTAGACCAAGGTGATCAATAATGTTGCTGATGTCTTCTGTATCCTCACTGATTTTGTTGGGGGGAGGGGGGAAGCATCAAGTTGTTCAACCAATTACTGAAATGTTTGAATATAATTGTGAATTTGTCTATTTCTCAGTGCTGTTTTTGTTCAGTGTTTTGAAACTCTCTTTTTAGATGCATAAATATTTATGATTGCTATGTTTTCTTGATCAAATTTATCCTTTTATCATTAGAATATGAGCTTTGGTATCTCAGACAATATTCTTCTCTGAAATTGACTTTGTCTGATGTTATTATTGCTGCTCCAGCTTTCCTGTGATTAGTGTTAGCATGGTATATCTTGTCCATTCTTTTACTTTTACCTTCTGAGTGTTTATATTCATAGTACATTTCTGATGGGCAGCATAGAGTTGTTGGTTTTCAGTTTTACTCAAAATCACATCTGTGCTTTTTATTTGGGGCATTAAGACTACTTAGATTTGTTATAACTATTGAACTAGCTAATTAGTATGTATCATAATCTTGCTATTTGTTGAATTAGCTCTATCTTTGGTTTTTCCCTCTTTACTTCTCTTTTTGTATTCTTATGTACTAATTGAGCACTTAAATAATTCTGTTTTTTTCTCTTTTTTTTTGCTGACTTATTAGTTATAACTCTGTGTTTGCTTTTTCAGTGGTGGCTCTAGGGTTTGCAATTCACATCTCTGCCTTAACACAGTCTACTTTCAAGTGATATTATGCTGTAATGTACTCCGCGAATCACACAAAGGACGCCTCAAGAAGTTGAATTAAGGAGTCACATTTATTGCAAATCTGGGACTACAAGGGGGCATTTTGCTCTCCCAAATGTCGCAGTACTCTCCCCAGCCCCAACATCAGATTTAAATAGGCAAAGATCACAAAGGTATTGATTACATCCCAGGGTTTGGAATGAGGAACCTGATTTGCAAAAAGCAGTTAAAGAAGCGAAATTGAGCCAATTAGTTATCTACAAAGATTAATTATAGCTTTGGGTCTTCGGACCACTGAGTTGACAGAAACACATTATCTGGAGCCACTGAGGCAATTTAGAGCAATTGTGCTGTCC